TTCAAAACTCCCTTTCCACAGCAAGGCCATTACTGAGGTTTCTGTTGGCTCCACAAAATGAGAATAATTGGAGAATGGTCCTTAGTATACATTTCAGTTCCTGTCCTGAGTGTCACAGTCACCCTCTTTCATTGTCTAGCTGCAAACATAGAGGAAAATATACTTGGCTCAGCAGCTCCACCTTTTAACACCTCCTTCAAAGTGTATGGAGAAACAGGGGTCAGAAAAATGGTATCATGTCCAGGGCTGTCCAGGGTTTTTCTCACAGAGACCCTCCCACCTTCCTACTGCTCGAAATGCAGTGCAATATAACTCTGTAAAAAACACTTTGTGATTTTGGGGTTTTGTCTTAATTGCACTTGCATGAAAGAAACCACCCTTTGAGTGAAGAAAGTATCAGTACAAATATACAAAAAACTAGTCACTGGGTAATATAAATATATTTTCCATTAACTCATTTCCAGACAAATAAAGCCTGCATTTGTTTAGTGACCCTTAACCTTAGTCTTAGAACAGCTCTTGAAAAACTGAGCAAACAAACTCAAAGCCCACTTATTTTGCTAGATTTCACAATGAATCTCTGCTCTGCCATGCTTAGCAAAAAACCAAAACAAAATAAGACACCAGAAGGAAAACTCTGTAATAAAGGATAGATAATCTTCTTCCTCCTTTGGGAAAAATGTCTTCTCTCTATCTTCACCGGAATACTTTTAACACACACACCCACACACACTGCCTTTGCTTCCCACACATCCTCCCACATGGTTTTGTGGACTCACCATCTTCCCTGGCTTATAAACAGCAACATGCTCTGGTCCAAAAGCATTGTAGATGCCAGCAGTGCTGTGTAAACTGTATCTGTTCAATGCCTTATCAGTACCCATGCCAGACACAACTAGAGTTCAAAAATTGCATGGAATACTAGGTACTGGAGGTGAAATAGCACATTATCAAGATGAGGAAGGAAAACCTGGATCACTGAATCCAAGTGCTACTTTTGAATACATTATCTGTCTCTCTGTCTGTGCCACATAGCAGAAATGTTTTAGGAATGTCTTTCCATCCCCATGTGTCTATAACTGAAAGGTTTTCCTCAGCATTCAAGATCCTTATGTGTGGAGGGAGCAGAAACCATTTCTGAAGCAGAAACCCTCTCCAAGCCCCTGGAAGGAGCCCCATGGAAGACAATACCTTAAAGATAAGAAATTGCTTGCTTAGAGTGACTAATACCAAGAAGTATTTTGCCTCCCCTTGTAGAACCCTGTGTTATCTTTCTGTAATATTAGTGGTTCATTTTCCTTTTATATTATTGGTTAGTTTCTCATCTAAAGTCCTTTGTAGATTGGTTAGTTTTAGAATTCCCTTGGTAATCAGTGCAAAATGTAAAACCCTCAAAATAGATAAAAACTCCTTAGAAACCCCACCCAGTGGATATGCTAGATTGGACCCCTTCACAGAATAAACTTTATGGAACTTTCCTGTCTACATATCTCGATTATCTTTTCTCTGCTGGCTCAGAAGGCACCTTGCAAGCAAAATTCTATCTGGGCAAGGCTTGCAAACGTGCCTTGTTGCTGAGAACTGCTTGGGCAGTTTTGGGGGCTCTCAGAGGCCCCTCAACACCTGCGACACTTATGTACCCTCTGACATAATATCCAGGCTTTTATCCATTTCTTTGATACATTAAAATATAAAACCACTTGGATCTTGAAGCAGATAACACATGAAATCAGATGCTGTATCCAATCAGCTTTCATGCCACTGTTGAAGCTGTCACCAAGATGGTCGTTCACTTGATTTTGAGTGTGCAAAATGTTAAAAGCTGTTTGTGCTTGCACTGGAGCCTCCTTCTTCCTATGAATTTTATTTAGCCTGCCTCATTGCATACACACCAATGTATTGCATGGTTTATAATGTCCTTCCTATCCATCTGACTTACCTGTGAGAGAAGAGCTCTCCTTTTCAGTGTGATATAACCTGACCTTTCCCAACAGCTATTGATTATGTTTTTGTCTTTCTTCAAATGCTTGCATGTCTGCTGGTGCCTGTGTTCTGTCAATTCAGTAACAACTGGCCCTGTTGTTAGTTTGGTGATCTGAGAATATTATAATACTCATTGGCAATGGGAAATTTGCAATATTTTGCCACCAAGAGTTTTATGATACCTATTTCCAGTGAGTAACTAGATCTCCCACAGCCTTTACCAACACTGCTCTTTATATGCATAAAGCTGTCTTAACACGCACTCTCAACTTCACTCTTTGCAAGATAGTGTATCTAGAAGTCATCCCACACAAGGTAATTAGAAGTTTACAACAGAAATTTCAGCCTGTTTCTAATCCAAGACTGTCTACAGTACTTCAGTCTCTAAAAAGAAAACATCCTTTTTTACCTTTGTCTTTAGATTGCCAAGTAGAGCAAGCATTTGAATTCAGAAAGCTGCTCTCTTTCCCCCTCATGGACTGCTTCTCTGGATTCCTAAACCTTGCAAATAAAAAGCTACCGTTTTCTCCTTCATCTGAACAGTTCTGTAGGAAAGGATAAGGATGTTAAAATTCACATGATAACCATTTCATATCTGAGGCCTTGAAAAAAATGCACCATGGGGTCTGGAGAGCAGGGAAAAGAAGGCCCTGGAGAATGATATTTCCTAAAGATTCATCTTAGCAGTTGCAATTAACTTCCTCAATGCCTTTTGGATAGAAGTTATCAGATAAGAGATCGAGAGAGAGAACATGATTTAGCTCTAGCAAGTCTCGATTTACAATCTGTCTTCCCTGATCTGTGCTCATTTTGTGCAACTCCTGTGTCATGTTCCTCTCTTGCAGAGATGGAAGAAAGGGTTTAAGTCAAAATAGATAAGTGTAGAGCCCCCAGAAGCCAAAATGAAATGTCTCTTAATAGCATTTTCATGGCACTCACTGTATCCTACAGGACTATTATGAGGGGAATTTCATCTCCTTTACTCGAAAAAGCTTTGGTGACATTCCGGAAAAAAATGCATAATGCAGCAATTTAAAATACCTAAAATATTTGGTTCAAGTTTCCTGGATTTCAATCCTACCAGAGCAAAAATGTATGCAGGAAGGGAGGTGCAGAAGAAAAGGGAGAGAAATAGAAAAAACCCTCTCTCCTTTCCTCCTTTTGCTCTCTTCTCCCACCTCTCCCTGACTGATACAAAATTGACCTGCGGATGGAGGAGGAGGATGCTGCTGCTGAAGAACACCTCTCTGCCAGGCTTCTCTGTGGAGAGGTCTGATTTCCATGAGCATGAACAGGAGACCTCTCCCTGATCATGTTTCCAGGACTGGATTATTAACGGCTGTATTTCCATCCCTTTAATTACTTCCTCTTCTGGTGATGTCTTTTTTAGTCTTACAGCAGCGAATGCACACCCCGTACATACTGAGTAATGAAAATGCACAATCAAGGCACACATGCCTTGCAACTGCTGTTTATACCCAAGGATTTAAAACTGGTAACAAGGGAGGTTAATGCTATTCTTAGGAGATAACACTCGTTGCTATAGTGAAGATCTGTCACTCACTCTTGGGAAGATGGCACCTGAGCTACGAATATTTGATAGCATTTTTGCTTTTGAGATGAACAGTAGTAATTACTCCAAAGCAGATACCAACCCCTCTGATTCTGAGCAGATATCTCATGTATGTGCTTTGTATTTGAACAGGCTCCTGTCTGCCTTCTCGGTGGCTCAATGTGCTGGCATTGATTGGGATTTTCAACACCTGAAGAAACAAAAGCAAACAGCAAGAGCTGGTGTCAGAAGATAAAAATAGTCTCACACAAAAATCCCAAAACTACCAGGAGACTTAATTTTTTTGTTGTTTAATGGGTGTTACAGTTTGTAACATACATGTTATCATATCCTGAGGATCCTTCAGCTTTTTAAAATATATAAAATTTAATTAGGCCTGATCTGCTGATCACAACTTCATGATCTGCACTTCCTACTAAAATTTATCCAGGCAATAATCCACAAGAAATCGGTTGTTTTCAGCAGTTTATGACTTGTTATTTAACATTTAACAGAATGGCAATTTATTTTGGTAACAACCAATACTGAGAGGTTTATTGCCATTGTAAACCATAATCAACTGTTTGTATCATGACCAGTTTTTCAAGATATAAAAATGGCCAGCTGCACTGGAAAATTGCTTAGCAGCTATAAAAATTTGCACCGAAGATTATGTATGAGGTTATTTCACCTTAAAGGTCAAAAGTCTTTAGAGAAACCACTTTCTTCAGTGGTCATTTTCAGCAGACTGGTAAAACCCAACCCTAGAAGGACAATACAGAAGCTATTCCCAGTAATATTTTGAATTATGAATATGAAAAAGGAGATGGACAATACAGAAGATTGCACTTTCTTTATCACAGCATCAGGGCAGAAACTAAATCTTGTTGTCTTTATAGATGTTGCAACTATTTTGCTGAATTGTACCATACTCATCAAATAGCTTTATCATCAAGGCTTCAAATTGATCTCTTAGTATCAGACAACTGGACACAGATTTCATATTTGATAAGTTTAGAAAGATTCAAAATATTTCCATTTTGATTGGAATAAGTTACAAATGAAAGCATAAGTTTTTTAAATGGTGTATCAGTTCTTCATCTTAAATCATTAGAGAGCAGCAAATCTCAATGAGTAAACAGTGAATAATTCAAGTTTACAAATTACTTTCTGTTAGTCTCAAAAATATATTTACAAACAGTCCTTTTTTTCCTACTTATTTTGCTAATATTTCTTTTTACTCCATAGTTGCTGTAGTAGTTACTGCAGAATACTTGAGCTGAGTTTTAGCACAATACCTCTTTTATATCCACTGTGTCAGTGGTTATGCACATTTGCACAGTTCATGCAAATGTTCACGTGGGAATAATACCAATTCTTTCCTCTTAACACTTGTGCCTAGTTCCAAAGTTCATTCTTCTAATCTATTTGTGCTACTAAAACTTTCACTAAGCAAAGCCTTTCTCTCACAGAGAAGAAAAATGGATGAAAAACACCTATTTATTTAAACCTTTGAGCAGGTAAGAGCAGGTAGGAGTTGGGTTTTTTTAAATTTATGTTTAGTAGTATTCATTCAACTCTTTAGTGTTGATTGGAATTTCTGGTAGAAAGCTTTAATTCATTTTTTCCTCCAGTTTTCAAACATCATGAAGCAAGTTAATCCCTACTGTAACTCCAGGGAATTTGAGGAAATTATGGCAGAGATTACTTTGGCATTGCATTTCTTGTTTAAAGTGCTTACCTGCGCACATACACTTTTTAAATATGAAGAGTGATGGCTGCTGATTTTCATTATTCACATTCAAATGATGTGAAATATAGGAAATGCATGACTTCAATTCTCTCATAACTTTTTGGATTTCACTTCCTGGAACTTGGAGCAGGTTACTAGGATCGCCAGAAAAATGGAGCTGTTGCTACTCTTTTGCTGGAAACAGAAGTGTTTTGAACCTCCACAAAGGTGTCTAACAGGCTGCTAAAGAAAAGAAAACTGAAGAGACATCCTCCTTGGAAGTAAAGACCACCATGTCAATCATCTTAGAAACAAGAAGATAATTTCTCTTTAAAGCAAAATCAAAATAACAACAAACACTTATTTTTTACTCATTCACAAGCCTAGAAATAATAAATTACATGAAAGAAACTGAACCAAAGTCCTCAGGAAAAAGCTCCACAAACTCATATCCACTGCCTTGTCATATTCAGCCTGTCTTTCAGGCTATTAAGAATTCTCTTCAGCCCTGGGCATTGGTAGCAAAACTGCAGCAATGAGGGTCAGGCAATCTTGCCTGCTAGTCAGAGGCATTAGCAATTTGCTGGTTGCAGAAAAACTAAAAATAAAAGGGGAGTATTTAATAAAGCAACAAAAGCAAGGCAACCTCATTTCTGCCAGGCTGCCTTGGTATAGGTAGAGTCTACGAAGTATCAGATATGAAGAGCATTTTATACTTGTTCAATGCTTCTCCACAAGAGCAACCAGGGATAAAAAAGCAGGCACAAAGGTCAGTGGAAAAAACCCTGTATTCTTCAGTTTACCTTTCCTGACTGAAATAACTCGCTATCAGAATCATTAGCAACCGCTATTGGATGGGCGCAGAGGAAAATGTGAATCAGAGGGTGGCTTTTCCAGGCATGGATGAGTTATTTAATTGAAACAATGCCTTTGTCTTTTATAAATCATTTTCCGTTCCACATTCTGATGAAACACTGAGTCATTCAAAAATTTGAAAATATTTATGTTCATTCTTTTTGCCACATTTTGGGAAATGGTGTCATGACCCCCAACCCCTCAACTCCAGGTCTTTTGTAAGGTGTAAGCCATCACTTAATATGGCTTTTCTTCTTTTGTCTAGAATTACACACCGTAGCCATTGGTATCATTAATAGCTTTAGAGTTGTCATGTTTTCAATTTTTCAAATTGAGCTGTAAAAGACTACGCTTGCATATTTATTAAAGGCTATTGGTAACAAGCTTGTAGGAGTAGACTCACTTTTAGGGCTGTGATGTCATTTGCTTATGAGTTCAGCATCCTCACCCAGGGACAACCCAAACGAGGAGCTCACCAGGTACCAAGGACACCTCAGCACTCTGCTTTTTCTTGTCATCCATGGCTTTTGAAAGAGGACTTTTCACAATATAGAACCAACTTAGGAGTGCTTTCCACCTGCACTCTCAATAAAAAAAAAAAAACAAAACACCTGTGGTTTTTTCAACTAAGCTTCAAGCCAACCTGAGTAAAGAGGTCAACTTTCCCATGCACTGGCTGCTCAGAAGCTAGAGCTGAAGCAGCACAAGCTGATTTATATTCTGTAGGGTCACTTAAACCCTCAAGTGTTAAGCTGAAGTGTCAGGCAGGTCCCCATGGGGCAAATCTCTGCAGCTCTTGGAGCACTGTTTCTTAGGAGAAGAGTTCCACCCCTCATTAAAATTTGTTTTGTATTGTGGATTTCTTCCTTCCTCAGAATTGGAAGGACTAATTAGAAATAGTTATCACTGCTGACATTCAAAGCATTATTAGAACGGCAGCCCGCTGAAAAAAAAAAAAGAAAATTCATTGTATTGTAGGGCATCCTGCTAATTCAGGTGTTGTTAGACTCCACTGGGGTCACCTTTAAAGCTTTTCACAGCTTCAGGTCTAGCAACCTGGTTTTCATGGCAAAGCAGTAAGACTGGAGTACAACTGATGCCCTCTGAACCTCTGTTTGTTAGTTTGTTTGGTTTTTTGTTTGTTTGTTTGGTTGGGGTTTTTGGGGTTTTTTTGTTGTTGTTGTTTGTTTGTTTTGGGGGGCTGGCGGGGGAGGAGGGGGAAACTGTTTCCATGAGTTGAAAAGGCCCAGGCAAGCTTCTGTGTTTCAGAACCGAAGTCCTCCCCTGCTGCTGCATTAACGTCTGCAAATGTTTTTCCTTTGCTTTTGTTATATGGGCTCTGTAAGGTGCTATCTCTAGTTTTGTCACAGAATTTCAGCTGAACATTTATAGGCATAAATAAATCCATTCCTCTGGTGAGGAGAGGAGACAGGGGGAGAAGAGTTGGACTCACTGATCCTTGTGGGTTCCTTCCAGCTCAGGATAGTCTGTGGTTCCCTTCTATGATTCTGTAGGGCAGCCAAACCTGAAGCACATGAAGGATGCTTGTGTGTGCCTGGCACAAGCAGCTCTAAAAGTGCCCCTGCCAAAGGCAGCTCCTCTCCAGCACCTCCATGTGCACCTATGCATTCACATCAGGGCAAGACAGAGACTGCAGGATAGCTGATGTCATTTCAACTCATTGAAATTACAGCCCCATCACAAGCACTGCTACAAGAAGGAGTCACATGCAAGCCACAGGAGCCTTTAAGATGGTATAAGCAGGTCACACTGCTGCTACCTACACACACAAAACATCCAATAGAGACTCTCGGTCAGTTAGGAAGATGTGTCACATTTTCATTCTGTCTTCAGACTTTGATAGAGCCAAAATAGTCTAGCTTCACACCTTTTAAACCATATCCCTTTGGGGGTGGGAGGATATATGCTGCTGAGGGGAAGAAGAAAACTCTTTTGTATATATGTATTTAATTCTCAGCAGCTGATGGTCTATTCAGCTTGCTAACCAACTTTACATATGTAACTTCAGTGCTTAGCAGAAGATAGACTCACAATTTTGAGGAAGGGGGGGAAAAAAAACCAACCCTAAATCACATTTAGAGATTCTGGGCAGATTCCAGGATTAAAATGGAAACAGGAAGAAACTTTCCAGAAGTTTAGGAGAGAAAGAAAATTCCTCTACATGTTGCTGAAAAATGTTTGTAATGTCTACAGAAGTCATCACTGCAGTGTAATCCTTCCTTCCATCCCCCCAAACAGTTTTCAGTTATCTTCTCTGTTCATGATTGCCTTTATATTGTCATTGACATTGTGTTGCATTAAGCCAGTCTCTAATATTAGATGCAATTATGATACGTGACATTGAAATTGTGCTTAAAGTAAGATTCCACTTGAAGGAGTCACCTTAGATTTATGTCTTTGTAAAGCTGTTTATTGCTTTTGTGATTGTGCTATCAAGTATTCTTTGTATACGAGTACCAAGGTGCCAACAGCAAGATCCAAAAGAGATAAAAGGAGCCAAACATTTAAGTAACTTGAATTATGATGTCTGCAGTTAGACTTGTGCTCTAGAAACATCTCCCCAGCTGTTTCTCCATCTCAGTTTTGGGAAGTACTGCAGTTATATTTTTTTCTTGATTTAACCTCTGGGTCCTCAGGACTGTGTCATGCCTCTGCACAGTGCTAGAATTAAATCTATTAGTGCTAATAGCCCCTATGCCCAGACATCAAGAAACTAGGAAATTAGATTACCCATGGATGTGTTGGAGCCAAAGTGACTCTTGATCCCCCACTGGACGTACTGGCACACTGTCAGGTCTAGTGGAAATTAAGAGTTTAAAACATTTTGCGGATTTACCTCAGTATTCTCGGTTATAAACTTTTTACCCCAGACTTAGAAAACTGGACCACAACCTGATCTTTTTATCTCAAATATCATATTCTGAAAGTTTCTGTGTCATATTGTGCCATGGGTCACACTGACTTGTAAGAATGCCTGTTACAGCATCTTGTCAGTGGCAACACACAAGCATAACTCACTGGCAATTAACTCCACTAAGAGTAAGATCCAGCTACTTCACAGTTAAAATCATGACAGCAATAGAGTTAACAGCAAAAAACAAATTTAGAAGGAGAAGAAAAAAAAACAACAAAAATAAGATGTGACAAGTGCTTATTTACGTAGTCATTTTTCAGGAGCTGAGCTGCACTTCAATACATAAATGCATTGTACCTTTAGTAAAACCTTCCTCCTGAATAGCTAATAAGTTATATTTAAGTGCTTTCACCAATGAACTGACTTACTTTAGTTACTGTGAAATCATTTTTATTATCCTTCTGTCCAAAAAAGTTGGAGGTAGCTAAAATCATTTTGGTGCACTTCCTGCAAGATCATGAATTATTGAAGACTGGAGGTAGAGTGGTTGAATGAAGAAAAAGACAGATAGTGAGGGCACTTTCACAGTTCCTGAGAAAATGGCTTGAGAGGAAGGCAGGAGCCCTGGAAATATCTGCAGGATTGTACCTTAATGATGGCAATGGTGGAAAAGACCAACGCCAACTCTTCAAACATTGAAATATTTAATTGTGTAATGACAATGTATAGAGATGCCAACTGAGTACATAAGGAAGTTGCGGATGTTGCTTTGTGGCATAGCTCCTGGATCCCAGCTTGCTCTGCCAGGTATTTAAGGCCCCTGCTGAAAGGGTACCCATGTGCTGTTGAGAGTGATATGGACTGGTGGCTAAATAATACATCAGGATCAGAAGAAACACAGCAAATCGGAGCTTGCAAAGGACTTTCTTTACCTCAAATGGGAATCACACTGCTTCTTCCCCCAGCTGCGAGTAAAATAAACCTAACTGGGATCTGGCAGTCCTCTACTTAATTCAAGAAACTTGATCAGTTGTCAGTAAGTCAGCACTCTGATCTTTAAGCCTCTCTTAGGTGATCAATTTGTCCCCTGCAGCAGTTCCTTCCACAGAAATTCCCACTGATGCCAGTGTGGGAAGCACTGAACAATTATAGGCTGGCCCACTGTTGAACACAGTAACTAGGTGCTGATGATTTCAGGAGGTATTTGTCTGTTTGTGCCACTGGCAGTTTTACAAGGCATAACATCTTTGTTCTTGGCCCAGTGGAGAGTAGAATGCTTCCCACCACCCAGTATCAAGAACAAAGGACTGACTGTACCAGCAGCACCAAGACTGGACCCAGAGGCCCCAGAAGCATTGGCTCCAGGACACCAACAGAGAGTGGTATTAAAATGCTTATATTTTGTATTGTGCAGCTCTCAATACTATTTTAAATATGATTCTAAGTTCAGCTGTACTTCAGACTTTATTTATGACTACAGTAACATTATTTTTGTCATTATAGTTCTGCCATCTATCCTCCCCACTGGATCTCATTGCATAGGACAATTCAGGTTGGGAGGGACTTCAGAAGATCCTTGGTCTTATCTGCTGTGCCAAGTAAAGCCACATGCAGGGTCAGAACAGTGGATTTTGAAAAACTCACAAGTAAGGAGAATGCACAACCTCTCTGGGCAACCTGTGGCACTGATGGATTGTGGGGTGAAACAGGATTATTTATGTCCAACCTCTATCTCCCTTTTCAACTCGTGCCCCTTTGCTCTCAGCTTTCCACCATGCATGACTGTGGAGAGCCTGTACCCATGTTCTTTATGCCCTTATAATGCTGAAGGGCTGCTCTGAGGTCCCCCAGCAGCACTTTCTTTCTGCAGGGTGAACAAGGCCTACTCCCTCAGCCCCTCCTCACAGGGCAAGTGCTCCAGCCCTCAAACACTGGGGTGGCCTTTGATGGACCTGCTGTGGTTGGCCAATGTCCATCCTGTTCAGAGGTCTCCAGACTGGATGCCACAGCACGGTGTGGCTGGCTGAGAAGAGCTGTGTGTGCTGATCTGGTGCCCAAGCTCCTGTTCGCACAGCTGAGAGGCTGATGTCCCTCTCTGCTGCCAGGACATGCCACAAGCTCTTGTTCTTGCTGTGCTCCACGCCCCTTTCAGCAGAATTGCTCCCCAGCCTGGCATTCCCCAGTCCTAGAACTTCAAGAGGCACTTCCTCCCCACCTGGCTCTGCACCTATCCTTGTAGAATTTCATGAAGGGTTCCCAACACCCTGTTCCTGCTGCCTCTCCAAGTCTCCCTGAATGTCAGCTCTTCCCTCCACTGTAAAGTGTTTCACATCATTTGGCATCATTGGTAAATTTGATGAGAGAGAACTCAGTCTCCCTCTCCAGGTCACTGAGAAGTTTGTTAAACAGGAAAAAAAACAGGACAAACCAGCCTTTCCACACAGTAAGCCCCTTAACCACTTCCATCTGCTCCCAGTCAAGCCAACAACTTATCTATTGAGCTCTTCAC